GAGTCAATGATAGTTGCATGTTCACATAGCCAATACTGTGATGAAAATTAAAGTAAATAAAATTTTCTAAACGCACAAATTTGTAAGTATGATAATTGCAAATTTGAATGGATATTATACTTACCAGCAATGCAATGACACACCTCGTAACTTTTTTTGGAGCTTTGTGCAATGCCATGATAGAATCAATTAATGACGATGTGATTGCTTCTGGCCAATCATACTGTTTCATTGATTCAAGAGGTTCCATATACTTTATAAAAACTCAACCTATTGAATTCCCACTTGTTGCAAAAAATAGGGTGAGACACAAGTACAATGTAACAATGATTGTTACATCTTTGAAGTTAGTTGGTTGCTTGCCTTTCATTCCTTTGACCAAGGCATTTTTAAGAACAGGACCAGTGAGCCTTGTGTCCTTTTGGAATCTTCTCCAGAGGAATGCAAATTTTGGCTTTTTAGAGTATCTTAATGACATGGCTCCTTTACCTTCTTCCAAACCAAAAATCAAGGTCATGTCATTTGTTCTAAAGGTCAGGTTCTTCTTACCAACTGTGAATGCTTTTGTTTTTTCATTGTAACATTGGATTATGGCAACTACATCATCATCAGATTTTCTAGATTTCTTTGGATCCATCCTTCCAGTGGTTAGAGCTTCGATCAAATACCAGAATGGGGTCTTTTGAAGCTCTAGAAGTTGTTTTAAATTGAATTTAAGTGTTTGAAAAAAGGAAACGACAGATGAGAGGTTGGATCGGAATTGAATGCTGTAGTGAACTCTCTTTCTGTGGAGTTTAACAGGTTTTTTCCCCCTTGAGCTTGAGTATTTTGAAGTTGGGGTACTCATCTGGATGCTAGTTGCTTCATCACCTTGGACTTGTGTGTTTTGGTGAGGAGTTTGTGGTGTTTTGCTGCTGGTTTTTGATCTTAGATGATAAGAAGACTGAGAGAGTTGTTCTTTCTAGCTTGGTTGTTTCTAGTGTTTTGTTGCTGGTTTTTTATCTTAGCCCATAAGAAGACTGAGAGAGTTTCTGTTTTTTGCTGAGAGTTTCTGTTTTTTGCTTGGTGTTTCTGGTTTTTCGTTGCTTTTACGCTTTGCCATTTCTAGACAATGATTAAAACATAAAGATGTCAACATTAAATCCCAGATAAAATTGGACATGTCAGAGAAAATTACAGATAAGGGAGAAAATTACAGAAAAGAGAAAATTGGAGATGCCAGAAAAAATTACAGATAAGGAAAAATTACAGAAAATTGGACATGCCAGAGAAAATTGGACATTAAAAATTAAATGTCAGAGAAAATCAACACAGCATCATAAACATGGGAGAGAAATTTTCAATAATTGTTAAAATTACATATAGAAGTAAACATACCAGAGAAAATAAATGATGGAAAAAAGTAAACATGACAAACGAAAGAAAATTTCCATTTCACAATTAGCAAGATAAAATAAACAAAGTAATGTAAACATGCCACTGAGAATTACACCATATTGAAACCAAGAATTGAACAAAATAAACATACCAGAGAAAAATACACATTCCGGAGAAAATTACACATTCTTGAGGAAATTTCCATTCCAGAGATAATTTCAATTCATAATATTAAAATGCAAGAGAAATTTACATACACAACCAGAGAAAATTAACCATGATAGAGACACTCAAGGGAGGAAAGTGGTGTGATGTGGTCAGAGAAAATTATAAATACCAGAGAAACTTAGATAGGGGCAAGAGAGTAATAGACATTGCAGAGAAAAATACATATTCCAGAGAAATTTACAAAGCAGAGAAATTCATAGACAAAATCATCGAAATATGTTCAAGAATAAGATCAAAATTCAGAGAAATAACTTTTTCTCAAAATAGACATGGCAGAGAAAATTCAAAGAAGAAACATTTATTCCAGTCCATAATATTAAAATTCCAGAGAAAATTAAAAATGATAGAGACATACAAGGGAAGAAAGTGATGAGATGTAGTCAGAGAAAATTATAAATACCAGAGAAACTTAGACAGGGGCAAGAGAATAATAGACATCGCAGAGAAAAATACATATTACAGAGAAATTTACAGAGCAGGGAAATTTATAGACAAAATTACAGAAACATGTTAAAGAAAAAGATAAAAACACAGAAAATTATTTTTGTGAAAATAAACATGCCAGAGAAAATTGAAAGAAGAAACATACATCAAGCAAAAATCAGAGAAATTCAAATGCTAGAGAAATTTACAGATAAAATCACACAAACATGTTGAAGAATAAGTTCAAAATACACAGAAATAACTTTTTCCAAATTCAGGTAGCTTTTTATTACGAAATTGAAACCCTAATTTATGGAAGGTTATTATAAAATGCCATTAACTGTGTTTCCAGAGAAAATCTAGTTGTATTGTAGAAAAACTGACCAGAGTTAGGATGAAACTTGAATGATAAGCTGATATGGCCCGAGATGAAGATGCGACGTGACGAAGATGGACTAAGATGATGATGAGCAGTGAAAACGAAGCTTTAACCTAGGTCAGAGAAATTTGTGAGGAAGGAATGAGAATGATTTTTGGAGAAGATAACGAAGCTCTAATGTCGATGGTGAAGATGATGTTGAAACCCTAATTCTGCTGTTCTCCTGTTCATGAAGATGCTGGATGTTTGGAATGGAACTCAGACGTCGGAATGAGTTTCGTTTCTGTGTTGATTTTGGCAAGGGTATTTTGGTCCACAAAATAATTAAAAACGCGCGCCAAGTTGTTCAGGGACCTGATGCATCACTATTTTTATGGGTGTCCTTTATCCTCTAAATTATTATTATTAGGAACCTTAAAAAAAATTCTCCTAAAAATAAATCAACATTATCATATTATATAATGATGTAAAAGTATTTAAAATTTTATCATTAATTTACTCTCCTTCTAAACATGGGAAGGAGGGTAAATCAATTTCTAAAATCGAAAGTATATCTAGTATTATCCTAAATTATCTCATTATCACAGCTATAAGTACTTTTTAAAATTTTATCATTACTCTCCCTCTCCATATGATTTTGACAAAAACAAATGGCGAAACGTGTTACTCTTTCTCTTTTTTTTTTAAAATCTAAATTATTTTTATCTATTTTTTTAAAATTTTTTTATAAGTGCATACAATAAATAAATGGGAAAATTGGTCTAGGTTCCCTCTCCCACTTTTGGTAATGGAAAAGATCCACAAAATTATTTTTTGATGTCTAAGGTCCCTAAAGATATATCAGAGAAATTTGACTTACAGAATATTTCGATTCACATACCGGATATTCTATCACCATCCCCAACGCTAGTAAACGACAGAACCCAGCCCTCTTCCTTCGTCTTGTCCTTCAGATAACTTTTGGGTATCAATTTCCAAAACTATTCCTTCTTTTCCCCAGTAAAACCCATACAACACTCCCTATCTCTCTACCTACTCAGACCCCACTTCCCTAATATATATATATATATATGTCTATTACCTTAAGGTTTCAATCACAGATCTATTGTCTTCCTCATTCTCTCTGGTCTTCAACTGCTCCGAATCATATTGATGCTCTATAATACTGTTCCGATTCTTGAAGAACTCTTCCTGAGAAGCCCTGAGATTCTCATAAGCAACACAGAGGCACTTGTGAGAAGCATAACCAGCCTTGACATTTTTTTCTCCCAAGCGTTGAAGCAGTACGCAAAATAAAAAAATATCCAGAGAAAGAGTCCCTCCAGGTATTTCAATTGACAAATTGATCAAATCAGAGTTTTATAGTTCCAGAGAAAATTTAGAATTTCTCTGGGTTCAACTCTCTGGCTTGAACAACCAAAGACGAATTTGCTAATAACATTTATGTAATAAAATTAAATCAGTACTGCAGGGAAAACATTCTGCATAACTTGTGCAATTGTGATTAAAAATCCAACGTCTAAACTTGTTAATGACATTCTGACAAAATTAAGGAACAGCTGAATATTAGCGTATATGTTTTTACACAACATTACTTGGTGAATCATCCATGGCTGGACAATTAATTTCAGCATGATCTTCAATTTGCATTTTCTCTTCCATTTCAACTTCATCCGGTGGCTTACAGTTTCTAATAGTATGATCATCATGATCTTTCATCTTATCATAAGACTCCATAACTGGCAATACATTAGCAATTGAAACTGAATCATCTCATTTTTTCCCGAACTGTCAGTAGCAACAATGGTGGAGGATCAAAACCACGGCCAGAGAAATTTCTCTGGAGTCCATAAAAGGCTAAGGAAATTTCTCTGGCAGTGTCCATGAAAGGCTAAGGAAACCAGAGAAATTCAAAATTTCTCTGAACCAATTTTCTCTGACTTGAATTTTCTCTAGACTAATTTTCTCTGGATTGATGTTGAGGGACCTTAGACATCATAAAAATATTTGATGTCCTTTTTACTATAAAATCATAATATCAGGGATCCTAAAAAAAATACTCCTAAATAAATATATATTTTTTGGATACAAACTTTCTCCGAAATTGTTAAGTTCTAATAGTAATAAGCATGAAAAAGAATGAGACATAAGAGTAACATGAAAAGCCCAATACCAATAAATTAGATGATTAAATTCAATAATATTACATATTTTAAAAAATGTAAATATTAACAAGTCGCCTCATGTATTGTTTAGTGTTGAAAAGGATATAAAAATTATCTTAAAAATATATGAAAATATTACAAAGTGTATTGATTTAAGAAAAAATATATTTAATTTAGTGAAAAGTGTTTTCTATTTTTTAATTTTTTTGTCATTTATTTATATTATAAGGGCACTTTAACAACTCTTAAAAAAATTTAAAAAATTAAATTAAGAAATCATATTTATTATAAATGTAGTTGACGTCGAACTAATACATTTACATTAACATTAACATTAATATTAACATTAACATTAACGTTAACATCCAAGTAAATTTTGAAATAAATAATCAAGAGAGAGAAAGAGGGGAAGATCAATTTTGGATTAAAATAGGATGAAGTCGCAAAACTCGGAATGTGGTTGGGCGTCGTGTTGAAGTCGGCTCTCTCCTTGCATGGAGATGCGTGTCCATTGCTAGTGCCACTGGAAGCTGTTTCCCCAACCCTCCAACAAATAAATTCCTCTCTCTCTATACTAATATATATAATACCTATCAGACCCAGATATTAATTAATATATACGAGGACGAAAGACAAAACACAGAGTAACAGTAGTAGTAACCGAGATCTGGCGGAATTCAACGCTTTTGTATCCCATCTCGGATCTCAGGCTTGCTCCTAATCAATCAATCAATCAATCAACTATAATCGACATGCTCATCAGATTGCTGACCAGGTCTCTCTCTCTCTCTACCCAAACCCAAACCCAAACTCAAACTCAAATTCTTTTATTTTGTCTTGTTTTTGTTTTGGGATAGTAAGTAACAATAACAACTAGTACCAAGCCCTTTGACGAAATTTGAAACCAGTCTTTGAATTTCTACAGAGAATTAAAGTTGATCTTCAATGATTTTTCCCCCAAGGCCGCCAGATATTCTTCTGCGACTACTGCTCCACGGCCAGAGAAATTTCTCTGGAGTCCATGAAAGGCTAAGGAAATTTCTCTGGCAGTGTCCATGAAAGGCTAAGGAAACCAGAGAAATTCAAAATTTCTCTGAACCAATTTTCTCTGACTTGAATTTTCTCTAGACTAATTTTCTCTGGATTGATGTTGAGGGACCTTAGACATCATAAAAATATTTGATGTCCTTTTTACTATAAAATCATAATATCAGGAATCCTAAAAAAAATACTCCTAAATAAATAAATATTTTTTGGATACAAACTTTCTCCGAAATTGTTAAGTTCTAATAGTAATAAGCATGAAAAAGAATGAGACAGCAGAGTAACATGAAAAGCCCAATACCAATAAATTAGATGATTAAATTCAATAATATTACATATTTTAAAAAATGTGAATATTAACAAGTCGCCTCATGTATTGTTTAGTGTTGGAAAGAATATAAAAATTATCTTAAAAATATATGAAAATATTACAAAGTGTATTGATTTAAAAAAAAATATATTTAATTTAGTGAAAAGTGTCTTCTATTTTTTAATTTTTTTGTCATTTATTTATATTATAAGGACACTTTAACAACTCTTAAAAAAATTTAAAAATTTAAATTAAGAAATCATATTTATTATAAATGTAGTTGACATCGAACTAATACATTTACATTCACATTAACATTAACGTTAACGTTAACGTTAACATCCAAGTAAATTTTGAAATAAATAATCAAGAGAGAGAAAGAGGGGAAGATCAATTTTGGATTAAAATTGGATGAAGTCGCAAAACTCGGAATGTGGTTGGGCGTCGTGTTGAAGTCGGCTCTCTCCTTGCATGGAGATGCGTGTCCATTGCTAGTGCCACTGGAAGCTGTTTCCCCAACCCTCCAACAAATAAATTCCTCTCTCTCTATACTAATATATATAATACCTATCAGACCCAGATATTAATTAATATATACGAGGACGAAAGACAAAACACAGAGTAACAGTAGTAGTAACCGAGATCTGGCGGAATTCAACGCTTTTGTATCCCATCTCGGATCTCAGGCTTGCTCCTAATCAATCAATCAATCAATCAACTATAATCGACATGCTCATCAGATTGCTGACCAGGTCTCTCTCTCTCTCTACCCAAACCCAAACCCAAACTCAAACTCAAATTCTTTTATTTTGTCTTGTTTTTGTTTTGGGATAGTAAGTAACAATAACAACTAGTACCAAGCCCTTTGACGAAATTTGAAACCAGTCTTTGAATTTCTACAGAGAATTAAAGTTGATCTTCAATGATTTTTCCCCCAAGGCCGCCAGATATTCTTCTGCGACTACTGCTGCTGCTGCTGCTGCTGCTGGTGGAAGGTAAGTTCGTCCAACTCAACTAAGATATTGTTGTTGTTCATCATGTGTTTGTTTGTTTGTTTGATGTCTCTATTAACACTTTTTTCTTTCCTAATTAAACGGTATCGATTACATTTCAGATTGCATTTTATCAAAAACAACAATATATCTCCAAGTATGATAATGATTAGTGACTGCTCTCTCCTCCTAGACTAGACTTACTGTTTGCGTTGAGTATATTTGTTGGTAATTTATACTTGAAATAAACTCAAATCTGGCAAACTCAAGTTCTATATATCAGCCACAGAGAAAAAAAAAAAAAAAAAAAAAAAAAGCCTGCCCATTCCGTAATTGCCTACAAAATTTGACGTTAAAACCGCCGTACCTACCTTGAACAACAAGGCCACGCGAATGATTTACATCACTTTTTTAAACAGCTATTGCGTGTAAATAATGGTGTGAATCATAGAACAATTATTCATAAATCTTTTTTAAAAAAAATGTCAAGTCAATATATACGGTGGTGTTATATGTACTAATTAGTATACATACTAGTGTATCGATTAGTATTATGATATCATTAATGATCCTATTTATTATACAAATTATAAATATTTAAAATTATATCACATCACTAATTGATACATTAATATGTATATTAATTAGTGCATATAATATTATTCCAATATATATGACTGCTAGGCTAATAGTAATAGCTCCTTTGTTTCAACGCAATCTTAAATTCAAGTCTTCCTTCTAATCTCACTTCGTCGGGGTTTTTTTTTTTCGCCCATCTTTTTCCATTATTTAGAAGTGATTTATAAGTTAATTTTTTGACTTATTAAGAAAAAAAAAAAATATAAAAATTGAAGAGGTGATGTGAATCGATAAGTTAACAGGTCAATAAATAAATTGGTTACCAACAGAGGACTTATTATTCTGATTTCTATGTTGGTGTTCATTTGTAAAGAGAAAAGAACAAATAAAAAAATAAAGAAACATATACGAAAATAAAATGTAATAAATAAGTTTTTTTCCTTTTCGAATGGGTTAAGAAAATAAAAAACAAATGAATATATTAAAAAATCCAATTTTTGTTTAATTACTTATATATATATATGTGTGTGTGTGTGTGTGTATAAGTAATTTTATCTGTCTTATATTTTTCTTTTCTTTAGGCTGTATTTGGTTTATGGATTTTAGAAATAATTTAGAAAGGAAAAGGAAAAAAAAGTGTAAAATTAAGTGAAATGTAGATATATTTTATTCACATTTTACATACTTTTTTTATTTTATTTTTATCAAATTTATGAACCAAACAAAATCGTTGAAAATCCAAAATACAATTTTAAATGTAAAAATGAAAGGACTTGATAGACTTTTGAATTAAAGTAACATTTCATTTTGTGAACTTCATCTATGCTCTCTCGGAGTCCTTCCTCTCTTTTTGGATCTGTGGATAATAGAATTTGATCCTTTGGGAACAAAACATCTTTTGATCAAATCTTATTATTATATTTTGTTGAAATTGTTAAATTTTATAATTTTATCTCACCTTTCACATATAAAAAAGTGTAGATTGTGCAACAATTTATTTTGTTTCAAACTTAGGGGGACAAGTATGTATAATTTAAAAATAATTACTCCTTTCGTCCCATTTTATTGGTCCACTATTCTATTTTGAAATGTTCCAAAATAATAGGTTTCATTTGAAAAATCAAAATAAAAAATATGTAATTTTCAAAACTATCCCCATTGAATGATTATAAATATATTAAAAAATTGAAAAGACAAGGGTATTATTGAAAAATATTTTAAAATTTGAAATTAAGTGTAATGATTGTATGTTTTCAAAAAAAAAAAAGTTGACACTCCTAAAAGGACCAATAAATTGGGACGGAAAGAGTAATAGTTAATAAAAAGTTTTTTAAATTGTAAGCATGATGATCACCCCTCTTCTCTGAGAAATTTTTGGGCGTAGATAGGGTAGATGGCATACGGTACCTTTCTCTTCTAGATATTACATTTATGTGTTGGATCCATTCTTGATTTGATGTGTGTGTCTATTTCAAGTATTATATATTCTTTGACGACATGATTGATTTTTGTTTATATATATAGTGATATATAAACAAAAAAAATTGTAGAGAAAACTTGTACATAATGATTTTGTTGAATTTTGAACTTATCACTTTAAAATAAATAGTGACATGTTTCTAATTGTACAAAGAATAATGTTACATAAACAGAGAAAACACATAAAAGATTTATACATAATGATGTGGTAGTATTGTGAGCCAATCAATTTAAAACAAAAAACTCATTAATTTGATTATTAATTACATTAGTGTCACTATTATAACATTTTAGTGGTACACAAATAATAATGCCACGTCATGTTGATGTAAAATGCTGTACAAAATTTCTGATAAAACAATATTGTGATTTGTGTATGGGAAGTGTTTGGATGTATAAGGTATATTCCATATGCAGTAATGTAAGTTCTCATAAATATATATAAGTTATTTTACAAAATCACGTAAATTTTCATAAATATATATAAGATGTGATTTCTTAAATTTTTATGAATGAACTTGCGTATATTTGTGAAATTTACACAATTTTATGAGATGACTTATATATATTTGTCAGAAGTTATAAAAGGGGTCTCTTGGAAAGGGCTAAAAAAGTCAGATTTTAACTGTTTACCTATTGAGTCACTTCTCATATTTTTTACTCATAAAAAGATAAAATAGACTACAAAAGTCAAAAATTAACTTTTTACCAACTTTTCAAAACACTCCAAGTACATATATACAGTTAAGAATGGTCCTTTGTCTATATTCATTTATTTATTTATAATATAAAATGTGGTGGGAAAGCAGGCTAGAAGGAAAGGTGGCCCTAATAACGGGGGGTGCAAGTGGTCTGGGTAGGGCCACGGCCAGCGAGTTCCTTCAACATGGAGCCCGAGTGGTGATTGCTGACATCGACTCCCAATTGGGCAGACAAGTGGCTAAATGGCTGGGCCCAGAGGCCCATTTTATTGAGTGCGATGTGGGCGTGGAGTCCCAAGTAGCTGAAGCTGTGGACATGACTGTGGCCCGCCATGGAAGGCTTGACATAATGTACAACAATGCGGGAATAACGGGCCCAGTATTCCCGCCAGGCATTGCTGATCTTGACCTTGATGAATTTGATAGGGTGATGCGGATCAACGTCCGGGGCATGATCGCTGGGATCAAGCACGCCGCCCGGGTCATGATACCAGCTCTCTCTGGCTCCATTTTGTGCACTGCCAGCATTAGTGGGCTTATGGGTGGGCTTGGCCCACATCCTTATACAATATCAAAATTTACAATACCTGGGATTGTGAAATCAGTGGCAACTGAGCTATGCAAGCACGGGGTCCGGATTAACTGCATATCACCGTGCCCCATCCCGACGCCCATGGTGGTCAGCCAGTTTTCAGGTTTCTTCCCGGATGCTACCCAAGATCGGATCATGGAAATTGTGCATGAGTTAGGGGAGCTGAAGGGGTCCATGTGCGAAGAGGTTGATGTAGCCAAGGCTGCATTGTATTTGGCATCCAACGAAGCTAAATACATCACAGGTCACAACCTTGTTGTGGATGGAGGATTCACGTGCTTTAAAAATCTCCAGTTTCCCTCAAGTTAAAAAAAATGTCTAAAATCATAATCGTTCATTTTCAACTATTTCACATTATTTTTCATTTAATATTTTGATTATTGCAATCTGGGTTCGTGTCATAATCAGACACTCCCACGCGCCTAGCTGACTTGTGGATGTCTTCTTTGCTATTCTCTGGGCCTGCGTAGGTGCAACCCAAACTGCTTCGGTTTTCCTTTTCACCAACTTGTTGCCTAACAATTGTATTTAGGTTGGCAACTCGTTAAGTTGCCTGGGTTTGCTCCCCATGTACCTAACTCAGATTCAACTCTTGTTGGCAGCTCTTGTTTGCTCGGATCATATGATTAAGTGCTGTTAGTTGATGCTCAGGTTTGCACTCGTGAGGTTTGGAGCCTTGCCTAGAATACGGTTATCGGTTATCCCAACAAACAAAAAAAAAAAGAACACGTTTAATTTGGCATCCTATTTTTGGTGAGCAGGTAGCTTTTAAATCACTGAGTATGAAAGGAGACATTCAATAATAGAATTATTATAGATAGGATTCGAGAAGTATGATATTGATTTTCCTCATATATTGAGATTGTTTTCTAAGAAGAAAGCAAAAAGATGAGTTTTGTGACTTTTGGATTACAATTAAAATAAAACATTATACACTAATCAAGGTAATCCAAGAATCATAAATCTTTTATGATAATTTTCATGAAAAAAATTTCATGATCCCTAACTTTTCTCTATGCTAAAAATGCCTATTTAAAATGGGGTCCTTCATGATCCCTAACTTTTCTCTATGCTAAAAATGCCTATTTAAAATGGGGTCCGTCAACTTTTTATGAGCTTTTTACTATTTTTATTATGGAATTATGGTGGAGTTATGGAATTATAGAATTATGATAGAGAACTTAGAGACAAAAGTGGAAGCACAATGATGGAGAGAATATGGAGAGAATTTACATTGCCTTATGCATGGGCTTAAATGCCAATTTATAGAATACATATTGCATATACAAACAAAACCCAAAAGTTATGGCATATCTACCTTACGTCTAATTTCTACAACTTTTGACAAAGCTTTGCAACTTTTTGACAAAGTCTACAAGTCTAGGTATAGGCTTAGTAAATACAAAGACAAAAAAAAAAAATTAAATAAATGAGAGACTTCAATTATTTGTCATCTTTATACTACAATTATATACATACACTGTATATATTTGTCATCAATATATACATACACTGTCTATCCTCCCCGATTTTCAAAGAGATAGACTGTTATAGATAAGCTTTGGCTGAGCGGTTTGTCATGTAGCGTCGACTGAAAAGATTTTGCTGATCACTTTCCGCCGAATGATGCAGGTTGCTCCACGTGTCCTAGATAAGGTTGGAGTCGATCAGGAGACAACTGCATTTGATAGTGGGGTCCATTATGCTTCCATCCTGTTAATGAGATTGTGATATTCTTCATCAGTCTCTGATGGAGAGGAATCTGGATCTTGGCTGTATTGCTCATTCCGGAAATGTTCTACAACATCCGCGGTCATGGCTAGTTCTAACGGAAGATCCAAATTATTTCTCTTTTTGAGATTTATTAACATGTCAAGAGCCTCATTAATTTGTGTAGGAGACCTTTGATATGTTATGAGAAAATGAGTTACAAATAATATTCTATCATCTGTAACCATGAATGGCAATTTTGCTGAGCTATGGATGTTGGACGCTTCTTGTGAAACAGATATTAGACTGTCTATCCAATATTCTGTCAAAGAAAGTTTTTGGATATTTTCCAATCGCTCTCTCCGGTGATCTTCATCTAAATAATCATCTTCAAATTCAAAATCTTCAATTTCTTTAAGATACCAAATTTGATATGGTTGGAAAAAATGTTCTCGTTCTCGCCAACCAACAGTGCTGGAGATCTAGAAAGTAAAATATTTGCTCCATCGAAAGCCTTTTACTATCCATGAGAGCATTGCTTTGATGATCATTGGATAATCTATCCATTGGATTGGATCTAAAATTTGAAAAATAACTTGATTAGTTATTCCCCAATCTATATCCTCAAAAAACAACATGTCATGGTTTGCTATGATGGTTATTTTGGGAATTCCATCTTTCAAATTTAATTTATCATAAGATCGTTCTAAGACTTGTCTAATCTTATCATGATGATCTTCAACTCGATTTTTAATTAACATAAATTTTTTTTTTGGAAGCAAAGTTCTTGCTTTTTCAAAAAGACAAATTCTTTTTATTTGTTCAAAAACTGGATCAGAAAACTCATCTGATATGAGGTCTGATAGCTGAAGAAAATTATTTATTTTTTCAAAATTAAAATCTTCACTCTAATTCATTTGTTTAAGAATATTGAAACAAAGATTTTGCAAATCTTTTAATTTAGCTGTTTGCTCAGCTAATATGTTGGCCAGAACTCCCATGTGTTTTTGAAATTTCACTTTGTTGTCTACAATGTGAGTTTTCCAAACTCCATTGAGTTCTGTATAAATTTCTCTGGAAATACCAGGGTTGAAAAAATCTTTTATTTCAGATTCATCTGGTCTAGATGTCTGAATATTAGTTGGAACTGGGTTAGTTCTCATTTGACAATTTTTTTTTGATAAACTGGCATAGCGAGTGCACTGTAAAAAGCTTTTTTAGCTTTAGTCATGCTATCATATGCTTTATAGCTCGCTCCTGAATATCCACAAACTTGCAGATTGGCTTCGTTCCAGTCTGTGCAAATTCCAGGTTGTCTTCCTGCAAACACAACATAAACTTTTTCTTCTCTGGGGATTGCTTTTTTAGCAATTGTCACCCAATCTCCTTGAGCGGGTTGTTTACCCTTATCCATTATTTCCTCTTGGTCTAGAGGTCTTCTGCAAAAATTAAATTTACTTGTTTAGCAATTTAATTTTCTGAAACAATTTCTGCTAAGAAAATCTGCAAAAAAATTGTTAGTACCTTTAAGATGTTCTACTTCAAAAGTATATTCAGAAATTTTATTATACCAGGCTAATCTTCTTCCTTGTTCAATAGGTTTTTTATTGATCAAGAAATCTCTTACTGCCTTATTATCAGTGTGTACAATAAAATTTTCTGGAGCTAAATAAATATGAAAACTCTTTATTGCCAATTTTATTGCAAGTAATTCTTTTTTGAAAATAATATATTTCTGTTTATTTGGTTTAAATGTTCCAGAATTATATCCGCAAATTAATTCTTCTTTTTGTAATTTTATGGGTATTGAATTTTTTTTTTGATCTAATCCCATTTTCTGATAAAGGTATCTCTTTATCATGCCATAAATTACTGGGTATAGCTTTAAGAATACATCCTCAGCATGCTTCTGAGGCGTCTATTTCTAAAATTAATTTATCACCTGTTTTAGGAAGATAAACATCCGATAAAGTTTTAACATTTTCTTTAATTTGTTTAATTAAAGTAACATCTTCTGTTGTCCATTCAAAAATAACATTTTTCCTTAATTTGGTTAACCAAGAAATTTCTATTTTTGAAAGATTTTTGATAAAATTTCGTCCATAATTTAAAATGCCTAATAAACTCTGTAATTGTGTTATATTTTCAAGAGTATCGGGAAAATCTCGTACTTTGGACAAAATATGTTCTTGTAATTTTAAACCTTTCTGGTCTAAAATTATTCCCAAAAATTCAATTGACTTTTTTTCTAATTCAATCTTTTTTGGAGACAAAATAATTTCATGTTTTTGGAATTTTTCACAAAGTAATTTTAAATGTTTCTTATGCTCCTCCTTGGTTTTAGAGAAGATAAGTATATCATCAATATAAACTACACAACAATCTTTAAGGTCTTTAAAAATTGTATCCATCCACCGTTGAAATACCTATGGTGCAATATTTAATCCAAAAGGCATAACATTCCAGTGGTAATGTCCTCTAGGTGTACTGAAGGCTGTCAATTTTTTTGACTCTTCAATCAATTGAATTTGCCAAAATCCACTTTTACAATCAAATTTGCTAAAGATTTTTGATCATTTGGTTAAGTTAATCAAAACATCTTTTCGTGGAATAAAATATCCATCAAATTCTAAATTTTCATTTAGCGGTTTATAGTTGACTACCATTCAGGCTTTTCCTCTTTTAATTTTAGCATGGTTTCTTACCATAAAAACTGGACTAGAGTGAGGGCTTTTAGTTTCTTCAATTAACTTTTTGTCTAAAAGTTCCTGGAGTTGAATATCAAATTCATCTATATCTTGTCTAGTATAGATCATCGGTCTTACTCTAATGATAACATTAGGGTCTTTCAATTTTAAACTACAATAACGTGGACTACGTTGCCATAGTTTTAATGGATGTTCACTAAAATTTTCTTCTAAAATTTTATAAATCCAATGTGATTCATCAATAGTTTTGATGATGGGAGTTAAATCACCACGCGGCACGGGCGCAAACTCTGCATCACAAATATATTTATGTTGTTCTAACAAGAGAATATGAATTAAGACATTGTTTATGCTTAATGAAATGGCTTTTTCTTGTATTTGCATTGGAAGATATTTATATATAAAATTATTTCCAAGAAGGAAATCTCCATGCATATACGGAAAACATAAAATTTTTGGTATAATGAATTTGCTATCATTTAACCAAATAGCTATATTTTTAGCCTTGAATTGTATGGAAGTATGGTTGCCATCAATTCCAGTAACCAAAATTAGATGTTTCATTAATGTCCATTTTTCCTTTGGTATGGCATTCCATTTACATGAGCTAACTGTAGCTCCTGTGTCTATGAGAACACTAAGGCTATAGGGTTTATAACCTGTAAAATTAAATGTTCTCAATACATATGTATATCTTGTTTTTCCCTGGCTAGGAGAAAAAATAATGTCATCATTTTTTGTTTGAAAATGATACATATATGCAGACTTAATATGTTCAAGTTTCCTTGTTCCTAGAAAAATAGGAATCTGAATATTGTTTAAAGTAATAGATTCTTGATTAGAATTATTACTTGATTCTCCCATGCTTAACTTTGAAAATGATTTGTTATAAAAATCTTTTTCAAATACAGAAGTTTATCTTTTAATTTTTAGAAATGTATTTTCAATATATAAATTTTTTCCTGATGCCTGCATTTGTAATTGTGCAAGTTTTTTTGTTTTAGAAGATTCTCCTTGTCCCACTAGGTCTTGGATTTACCATTGTCGAGGGACTTCTAAATCGCTCCAATTCATTAGACGAGGTTGTATTACCGTGTCAATGGTCTTGGTTCAAAGATCTCAACGATTTTATTATCGTTTGATCTTGTTTTTGTTTCAGGAAATTTGGTTAATTCGTGAATTGTTTTCCAACAAATAGCCAAATCATGAGAATTTGATTTCATTCCTAATTC